GATGGCTACTCCCTTTCTAGGCTGGCACCTCCCTAACCATCCATGTATATCAAGCATTCATCAGCATACATTCCATATTTTAATTTACTGTCTCCACCACTTTCAAGGTGTGTGCTAATTCATTTGAGACTCCCGGCCCTTTAATCACAGAGGGTGGGGGTCTGTCCTAGGAGCTGTTGAATGAAGTGAAAGTCACTTAACAGCTTATAGTGTTTGTTTACATTGTATCAATTACTTCAAGAGCAAAGTCAATTAACTTGTTTGTAAGTTTTACATAGTAATAAAGTATCTTTCATAGGATAGATACAATCAATGGTTTCTACAGACAGTAGCTTACAAGTTTTAACAGAAGACCCAAGAGATTTTTGTACTTGGTGAAACTGTTGGATTTTAAAGTGTGGGGGACAAATTATGAGGGGGTCACTGTCACTTGGGGGGGGGTCACTGTTAGTACCTTCTTTTATATCCCTACAATTCCACTGTAAAAAGGAAAAGGAATGAACACAGTACACTGAAATTACAAAAACCAATGTCTGGTCTGTACATTTTTTTATAGTGGTGTAACTTCTTTTAAAAAAATAATCACATCCCTCACCAAAATAATTACATTGTGGACAGTTATACTGATATAAAGTTGCCTTAGAGAATTTTTCACTTGGCCACAGCTCAAAGAGCCGAGAAGCAACATACCAGGGTACAATCCAGACCAATGAGTAGCTGGGTCACCCCCGCCATGTAACCTGGGGTGCCCTTTACAATGCCTTGCTGCTGCAGCCTCCAAACTGGACTGCTCACAAACAGCCTCCAGCATGTAAGTCACGCTCAGCTATGTCTGTGTGCTGCAGCCAGCCAGCCACACCTTGCCTCTTACCAGCCTTAAGCACTCCTACAGCTTACACCAACATGCTCCTATCCCAAATTTTCCCCCATAAACCTACATCCTGCATTATCCAGCCCTCACCTGGACAGCACAAATAGATTGAGTCTTATTCATTTCAGGGAATAATATGCACACAATTTGTTACTCCAAATGGAGTTACCCACACACTTCAACTTGAACATACTGGATTAGATACAGTTAATAAACTAGTTTTATTGTTTTGAGAGAGACTTTAAGTGAATACAAGCAATGCAGCATAAAAATTAGAAATGGTCACAAGAAAAATAAAGATGAAAATGCTTACTGGTGCCTAACTCAGCAATATTAGATTCAAAGTAATGTTTTCTCACCACGTGCTTTCAGCAGTCTTACTGACCAAACTCTTCAGGCCAGGACTCATTCCCCAGAGTCCAAGAGCTGCTTTGTATTGGCAGTAACCTACTTGATGAGCAAACCCCACAGTATTTTGGGCGCTGCAGGGATCTTTAGCTTAGGTAAAAGAAGCGTTGCTGTAAAGTGAATGGGGGAAGCTAAAACACAAACGAGTAAAGTTCAGCAAGAGAGAGAGGAGCAACCAAGTTAACCATAAAAGTTATTTCTTGAATAATAGTGATAACTACACAAGGAGGACTAAACCAACATAACATACATGATTAAAGGTTAATACCTAAGGTAGAAAGGAAAACAGAGAGAGAGAAAAAGGGGGGATCTCACCCACTCCATGAGGCTTGAACTGGTGAGGGTTCCCAGATGATGGTGGTAGCGGAGGGTCCTGAATGCTGGAGACAGGCAGAGCCCCCAGCACGATCAGGCAGGAGAAGATGGAGTTCCAGTGGAACTGATGCCTAGTTTGGATCTAAGCATCAGAACCCTGACTAGAGGGTGAGTAGGGATTTTGTAGAGAAAATACAATTGTTCAAGCGAGAACATTAGATTTGTTTATAGGTAAGCTGATGACTCAAGGGTTTTCTTTAGGCTAGACAATAGGAGCTGATCACTCTTGGCTATGGGTGGTGTTTTCTTCCAGGGAGCTCACAATGCAACTAGGCTGCTTCAGTATTTGGATATCAATTAAGGATTCCTTACTAGAATTGGTCTGATAACTGCTGAGCTGGGTGTGTGCAGGTGTAGGTTCATTAGCATCTGGAGCAGAGATTCCCAGGATGCAGTGCTTCCCTGCTTTTTCTGGTCCCAGAGTTCAGTGCAGTTCTCTGTTCTCCATTCTGTATGTAAATTGAGATGTCTCCCTGTCCCATCTTTCATGCAGATGAGGCTAGGAGAGTTGTCTTTGCTCTCCATTCTGTATGCTAGAGGGGTCTAGGTGTGTCTCCCAACGCCCTTCACTGCTCTCTGCAAGTTTTTTCCCCCTCTAATGGGTTTTGGTTTAAGCAGAGGCTGGGGGGAGGAGGGGTGTCTTTCATGAGTCAGGCTGGATACTGCACTCTGGTTCCCGAAGAACACAGAGGTTTCTGGTATCAAGGGTCACCTAGTGGACGCGCCGGCCCTGCCCCCCAGTAAACTGTAATACAGTAGCAACAATCTTTCCCTTTGTCCTCAGTTCCAGTATCTTCCACTACACCCAGCCGGAATTAAGTTAATTGGCTGGGAATCTGCTGAAAT